GGGGGGGGGAGAAGGGGTCTGTGTCTGTGTATGTTTGTATGTGTTGAGGGTGGAGAGGGCCAGCTGGCAGCTTTCCTGTCTCCAGGCTCCTCAGCTTCTGGGCCAAGAAGGGCTGAACTTCTCAGCTGTCCCCTCCCCTGTGTGAAGTTCTTGCCTACTCAGGGACAGCTGGCCCAAGCCACCTCCTGACACCCCCCCACACCTACCCCCTAGCACCCACACCCATCCCCCCACACTTCAGCAGCCCTCTGGAATCTTCTCTTCTCTCCTAGTTACTAAAACACACACACACACACACACAAAACATACACCCCTCCAGGTAAACAGCCTTTGTCCTGGCCCATGGCCTTCCCCCTCCCCTCCCTGGAGCTCCATGCTGGGGAATGCAGAAGTAGGGAGGCTGCCCAGCCTGCTCCCAGGAGCCTGTGGGTCCCTGGCTAGCACCCCACAGGGGAAGGCAGGCGTCAGGTCAGCATTCCTAGAGTTCTAAAAGCCACTCCCTCTCTTAAGCCTTGGGTTTCCCTTCTGCAAAGTGGGGACAATCATTTCTCTAGCCCTTCTTGACAGAGCTAGTAAATGGAAGGGCCTAAAACCCCTGGCCAGGGTTCCAGGGGCAGACCCCACAGAGATGGGAGATTTGTTCTCTCAAAGCCCATCCCTTCCTAGAATCCGTTCTCGCCTTGCTTCATTGTAGAAGTGCTGGTGAGGCCTGGGTGTGGCAGAGCAGAAATGAAAGTTGTTCTGGCAACATACAGGGTTCACCAACATTTCCATCCAGCAGGGGTGTGCGAGCTCTTTTCAGAGCCCAATACTGCTGGCATGTTGGTGGTACTGCATCACCGTGGCTGACTCAGCTCTCTATTATGTGCAGATAGGTGAGGGGCTCACCTCAGACGGAATTAACCATACAGGTGATTAGGCTAAGAGGAGCAGGATACACAGGGCACCAGGAAAGCTAAGCCACCAACTCTACTAAGGATCGATTTACTGCCCCCCTCTGCCTCTTGAGCTGATTTTCCACCCGGAGAAAACTTCCCGAGCGCTTACTTGCAAGTGCCCTTCCCCTGGCTGGGAGATGTTGGGGATGGGGGGTTATCAAGGACAAAGAGATACAAGGAACCCAGACCTCATCGAGCCCAGCCCTCTAAACTGTGGGGAAGACAGGGAGAACACAGGGAGGCTGGGAACAAACCCTGAAGGAACCCCTGGACTTGACCTTCTCCAAAAGTCCCAGCCCTCTCTCCTCTGGGGAAGCTGCCAGCTCCTCCCAGAGATCTGACATCTTAAGTCAGATCCTGTCTGANTGTCCTGGCCCATGGCCTTCCCCCTCCCCTCCCTGGAGCTCCATGCTGGGGAATGCAGAAGTAGGGAGGCTGCCCAGCCTGCTCCCAGGAGCCTGTGGGTCCCTGGCTAGCACCCCACAGGGGAAGGCAGGCGTCAGGTCAGCATTCCTAGAGTTCTAAAAGCCACTCCCTCTCTTAAGCCTTGGGTTTCCCTTCTGCAAAGTGGGGACAATCATTTCTCTAGCCCTTCTTGACAGAGCTAGTAAATGGAAGGGCCTAAAACCCCTGGCCAGGGTTCCAGGGGCAGACCCCACAGAGATGGGAGATTTGTTCTCTCAAAGCCCATCCCTTCCTAGAATCCGTTCTCGCCTTGCTTCATTGTAGAAGTGCTGGTGAGGCCTGGGTGTGGCAGAGCAGAAATGAAAGTTGTTCTGGCAACATACAGGGTTCACCAACATTTCCATCCAGCAGGGGTGTGCGAGCTCTTTTCAGAGCCCAATACTGCTGGCATGTTGGTGGTACTGCATCACCGTGGCTGACTCAGCTCTCTATTATGTGCAGATAGGTGAGGGGCTCACCTCAGACGGAATTAACCATACAGGTGATTAGGCTAAGAGGAGCAGGATACACAGGGCACCAGGAAAGCTAAGCCACCAACTCTACTAAGGATCGATTTACTGCCCCCCTCTGCCTCTTGAGCTGATTTTCCACCCGGAGAAAACTTCCCGAGCGCTTACTTGCAAGTGCCCTTCCCCTGGCTGGGAGATGTTGGGGATGGGGGGTTATCAAGGACAAAGAGATACAAGGAACCCAGACCTCATCGAGCCCAGCCCTCTAAACTGTGGGGAAGACAGGGAGAACACAGGGAGGCTGGGAACAAACCCTGAAGGAACCCCTGGACTTGACCTTCTCCAAAAGTCCCAGCCCTCTCTCCTCTGGGGAAGCTGCCAGCTCCTCCCAGAGATCTGACATCTTAAGTCAGATCCTGTCTGAGCCCAGAGGCTCTTAACTGAGCCCCTTCCACCTCTACACCCCCTCTATAAAACCTTCAGAGCAGTCTGACTGCCCCCAACACACAGAGCAGAATCCAGGCATCCTGGAGATCTTGATAGGTTCCCAATGCAGAGGTCTGCTGTCCTTTTGGGGTTGGGGCAAGGGGGCACTAGGACCCCAAGTCCCAAACCTCTCTGGGATGAATATGCTTATTAGAATCTTGAGCCCTAGTGAAATCAGTCCCAAACAACTTGCATTTAATTTCACCAAAATCATTTATTTTCTCTGTGAAAAATGAGATGACATCAAAGAACAAATTGTAGAAATGACAAGGTGGAAGTCAAGCTGTTCTCAGCGGTGCTGAGAGTGGTTTTCATCTGCCACCTTCCACCCTGAGACTCAGCTGGCCTAAATATGTATGAAATGGAACTGTCTCCTTGGGTTAACCTGGTTGAGGGGCACCCCTAGGTGCCCGGCTCCCCACTGACAAGACTGCCCTCTCGGTTCCACATCTCATTCTCCTGCCTAAGCCGCTGGTTCTCTGTCCGGAGCCTCTCTACCTCCGCAGCCAGCTCCTCGACCTGGTAGCAAGACTGCTGGCTGGTGCACCCCTGCAGCTGCTGCAGCCTCCTGGTCTCTTCCTCAGCCAGCGACAGCCTCCGCTCCAGATCCAGGTAATCTTGCACCAACTCCTGCTTGCTGCGGCCCTGCAGGCTCTCGGTGTGGTAGCGCTCATAGGTCTCTGAGAAATCCCTCTGCTGGAACTCACCAGGAGCTTGGCCCTGCCCACCACTGTCCCCTGCCTCGCTCTCCTCACTGGAGCCTGGGTGGGAGGTCCCATGGGGCACATCCAGGTCAGGTTCCTCGGGGTTTCGATCATTCATCAGGAACTGGGTGGTGTTGTAGGGCGCCACAGCTTGGCCCTTGGCAAACATCTCCTCTCGGACCCGGGAGGCCCTCTGGCTCTGTCTCTCATCCCGCTGTTGCTTTTCATCCCAGCTCAGCTCTAGGTAGGGCCGCCAGTGCCGCTTGCGCTTTGAAGGCCGCCTGCGGTGCTTCTTCCGGCCCAGCACTGACTCCACAGAGTAGGCCCTGGGGCTCTGGGGCCCGGGACCCCTACTATTCCAGCCCAGGCCACCGCCAGCCCCGGAAGGATCTTCCTCCTCTGAGTGGCTCTCCACCCGGGGTGTCAGGGGCAGGGAACCACCAGAGTCATGAGGTTCAGGCGGTGTTTCTGGGCTCTCAGAAGAGCCAGAGGTCTGAAGAGAGAACAAAGGAAGGATGGGTCAAAGCCAGTCTGTTCCTGGTGGTGGAATCCTTCCCTCTACCCCCTCCCCACCCCCACCTAATGCTGACCTTCCCACACCCAGCTAACTTGGTCCCTCTCTAGCTCTCACTCTTCTGCAACCATTTGTTTATGGCTTACCTGTCTACAGTCTGTCCGCCAACAGGCCCCAAGCAAACTCAGAACTGTGTATTTCACTCTGTAATTTCAGTGCCCCCCACCATCAGAAACACCCATGCTTCACTTAATGTTCTGCTGCCATTGTCTTGAACTTCTTAATTTTTAAAAATTCTTACCCAAGAATATGCTTATCGATTTTAGAAAGGGGAAGGGAGAGAGGAACATCTATGTGAGAAAGAACATTGATTGGCTGCCTTTTGTATGTGCCCCAGCCCAGGATTGAAATTGCAAATTAGGTATGTGCCCTGACCAGGAATTGAACCCACAACTTTTCAGTATACAGGATGACATTCCAACCAACCGAGCCACAATGGCCAGGGCCTTCTTAATAATTTTTGAATAAAGAGCCCTTTGCACTGAGCTGCACAAATTATGTAGCTGATCCTGCTTCCAGCTATTTGGATAGCTGACTCTTTTTCATCCTTTATTTAGGGCTTTGTTCCAATGTCACCTCTTCAGAGAAGTCCTCCCTGATCACCCTAACTAAAGTAGCCCTCCTAGAGGATGGAAGCAGAAGTTGGAGCGATGTGCTTTGAAGATGGGTCATAAGCCCAGGAATCCAGGTGTCCTTTGGAGTGGGAAAAGGCAAGGGAACAAGAATTCTGAAAGAGCCCAGCCGGGCGTGGCTCAGCGGTTAAGCATCGACCTAGGATCCAGGCGATCAGGGTTCAATTCCTGGTCAGGGCACATGCCCGGGTTGCGGGCTGCAGCCGATCAATGACTCTCATCATTGATGTTTCTAGCTCTCTCTCTCCCTCTCCTTTCCTCTCTCTGAAATCATTGAAGATGTATTTAAAAAAAAAAAAAAGAATTCTGAAAGAGGGGCAGGAACAGGTCTGGGTGCCATCTATCACAGTGGTCTTTTATAAAAGCTGTATCATTTTATCACTATTCTGCTTATTTCCCTCCAATGACTTAAAATAAAATCCATGCGCAACAGGCCTTCCATTCTCTGGCCACTAATCACCTCCAACTCTGCTCCCACTGGCTCCCCATAAAAAAAATAAAATTAAAAAAAAATAAAGTAGCCCTCCCATCTCCCTTCCCACTGACTCCCTATCATGTGTCATAGTTAACACCCTATATCGCATTTAGCACATTACCATTTACCACCTGACTTCCTCCTATAAGAATGTGTCTTGTCTGTTCAGTTCACCACTGCGTCCCTATGCACGGCCCAAGGTAAGTACTTAATAAATATATGTTAAATGGCATAAAGCTCATAAGGGAGGAGTACCCAAGAGATACTGGAACATAAGATTCTCCTTTCTGTCATTCCAGGGTGAATGAGCTGGAGTGCATTTATTCCAGGCATAAGTTGGTATCATTCATCTACATGAGGAGCAGGACAGAGGTCCTAACTAGGAGAGGAAAGGTCAACCTCTAATCTGTAGCTGAGAGAATTCTAGAACTTATCTAAGAGGTGCAAAGGATTCTGTCAAGAGAGTGTGTGTTCAGGGCATCTGGTTATCTCTGTCATGGTGAGGGAAGGAGTACTGAGTAGAGAATGGAGAATGAGTTGCTCTAAGTTTGTGGTTTGGAGAATTCTAATAATAACTACTACCACTGATATGTTGCTTTACAATTTACAACATGGTTGAGACATCTGAGCATGGGTCCATACAAGCATAGGATATGTATATTGGGGGATATATGCAGCCCTGTAAGAGCTGGAGGAGTGTTACATGCATTTTGGAGACCCTGAAGAGAACTTCAGGGAAAAGGAGATATGTTGGAGTATGTGTGCGCATGCATGCGTTGTATTGGTTACTTCACCTGAAGGGAGATCAATTAAGAGTGATGGGCCTTTTCTCCATCAGTGTCTTAGGTCAAATGACACAGAGCTCTGCCCCACCTGGGAAGAGGCAGGCTGCCGGGAACTCTGAGGAGGGGTGGCTTGTTTTTGTGTGCACAGTAATTCACCTGCTCCCAACCCTCAGCAAATGCTCACTAATCATCTTTCCCCTAACCCAAGCCAGCCCTGCCTCTAAGCCCCACATGCTGCCTCCCTCCTAAAAGTTTCTCTCTCTACCACCATTACTACTGCAGGTAAGCTGTGTGACCTGGGTAAGTCATTTGCCCTCTCTGAACCTTCTAGCTCTGGCATGCCAGGAAATCCAAATTAAATAAATCCAGAAAACACTGGAAGTGGCTAGGTAGGGTGAGTCTGAGGAGCTGAGTTCCCTCCTCAGATATAGGGAGCTGTGGACTAGGCAAAAATAGGCAAGGTGGGGGCAATAAGAGAGAGCATGGTCTGGGAAGGTTTGGGTTCCTGTTGCCAGATCAGAAAGTGACATTCTAAGGGTTTCATACGATCTGTCTCTCCATCTCTCCTGGGTGATATCCCACCCACCACTCCATCCCAAATAATGAACCAATTGCTCAAATTCTTTTCCCTGCTTCTGAGTTGGTCCTTAGGCTGGACAAAATGTAAGGCAGGGTTCTGTTGTTAGAAGGCCCCAAGTTTAAACCCTGGATCTGTTGCTTGCTGGCTGTATGACTCTAGAAAAGGTATTTCAGTTTTTAGAACCTTAGCTTCTGTGAAATGGAAATAAGAAGTCCTACCTTGAAGGGCTACTAGGATGTCATTAGATAGCACAGATTTAGCATCTGGCATATTAACCAGTGCATAGTAGGGACTCATTTAAAAATAGTGGTTTCCCAAATCTGCCAACACACCTGAGACACGAAACCAGGATCCCAGATGGCAGAATCCATGTTCACAGCACTCGGGGTTGGGAGGGTGAGGCTTACCTTCGCCTCCTCCATGGCTGCTGATCACTCTGTATTACAGTCCGTCTGGTTCAGAGTGGCCACCTTCTTCTGTTCCAAATCTCTCGGCAGATGCCTTTAACTAGTGACACCTGCTTTAAATAACAACAGAAACCTAAGTGCTGACGGAGAATTCTCAGGGAGACTGGCTGCCCAGGAATTTTTTACCAAGGCAGCAGCAGCCATTTTGTAGCACCAGATCTCACACCCTCATTTTCAAATGAGGGCCCTGAAGGCTGCCTCCACATCCTGTTTTTCACACCTCCAGCCAGCAAGGAGCCAAATGGGGATTAAGAAACTATCTTCCCAGTCCTGCTTCTCAGGCTCCAGGGCCAGGCTTACATCCTATACTGTTCTCCTGTAAGTCCCTGAGGCCCAGGCTGGCAACTAGGAAGGTAGGACTAAGCTTTGTTCCCCCAACAACCAAGTGGGAAAGAAGACTCCCTGGGGAGACCAATATACATACAGCAATGACCTGGAGAGACTCAACAGTGCATTGGGTCAGGGGGTCCTTTCCAGAGGCATCAATCTTAACTGCAGCCCCCCCCCCCC